TTATGGGAATAGCCTTTCCCCTTGAGGTACAACAGGACTTCCTCTACGGCCCCTGCCTGAAGAAGAGACGACACCTCGGGTTGAAGGACAATCTCTCGAGAGTGGTTCCTGAAGAGAGAAGGGGGGGGAGAAATGAACTGGAGAGCATTTTCCAGTTCCGCCGTGCTTAACATCCAAGCACTTAGGAAGTGGGATAAGGAATTGGTAAATGAAAAGTGGGGAACTGACGGAACTGTGGTAACTGGTGCACTGCCCTCAACCAGCCAATCAAAATGGCTGTTTGGACAAGGCCGCTGGATGGGATGAGCAGTGGAGGACACTCCCTAGAACCCCAGCCCTTTCTCTTTGGCAGATCTTGGGATCGGGGAGCAAAAACTTTGCGCCTGTACAGCTGCTGTAGATGAAATTGTTTCCCTTTCATTGCGGGACTATAGATTTCAAGGAATTTTAGTGTTGCCCTGGAATCTTTTAGGCTATGGAGCCGACCATCCGTTTTTTCTGAAAACAACAAGGGATCTTTGAAAGGGAGGTCCTGGATGGTCTGCTGGACTTCTGGCGGTAGCCCAGATGACTGCATCCACAAACACCTTCTCATTGTAGTAGCTGATGCCATGGTTCGAGCAGCCAAGTCTGCACTATCTAAACTGTCCTGGACAGCAGTCCTGGTGACCAGCTTACCTCCTTCCACCATTCCTGCAAACTCCTGTCTACAGTCCTCTGGTAGCGTCTCTTTAGACTTTGTTTTCCCCAGGACTCAGGGTGACTCTTGGTTTGCAATCTTGAGTTGCAGACTTCCTGACGAATACAGTTTGTGACCAAACAGATCCAACAGATCTTTTGGCATTGATGCCTGTTGTCCTCGTCTGTCCCGCTCATTGGCAGCTGCCATTCAGGGAACCTGAGGAGAGCAGAAATGGTCATGCCCCTTCAAGGGGATGTAGCACCTCCTCTCAGTTCGCTTTGCTGTGGGAGGCCAGAAGGAAGGCGTCTGCCAAAACGCCTCAGCTGGCTCCATGATGGCTTCGTTGGTTGGCAGAGCTACCCTGGCAGGGGCTGTCGATACCAGAATGTCCATCAGCTTGTGGGAGCATCCACGCCCCTCCTCTGCCTGGACGTCAAGCACCAAGGCCATACTTCTCAGTAGTTCTGGATGAGCCCCTGTGGTCCTCTGGCAGCAGGGAATCACTCGCTGGCTCAACACCTCATCTGGTAATGAAACGACAGAGGCGCTGGAACTAGAAGTCCGGGTTGGGGGGGGGCTGCTGCACCCCCCCCCCCCCCCCGAA